TGGGATATTTTTGACGGCTATTGAACTGCCAGATCAAAAAAAGAAAAGAAAAAAAGTATATGCGATTTACACATGTTTGGGAAATATTTCAGTTTACACGAAATCGGTGCAATTTTTTTCTCTTGTTCATTCATTTTGGGATCGTTCTTTGCGAACCAGATTAAATAAATTCATATATATTTCTCTCGGTGAATTACATAAAAATGTATATTTATTTGGCTAAAATACAAAAAAAAAAATATTAATTGAATAACACCACTCTCGCAGTGTTACGCGAACTACTTCTTATAAAAGGCAAACATGCCGTTACATTTTGCTCTGCAACTTTGTGGGGCCTTTTTTTCATCAAAGATTTGATGGAAATTGTTGTACGTTATCTCGTAACTCGGAATTATAATAAATCTAAGCGAAGACTAGAGTGTCGTGAAATAACTGCTCAAAAAACGCACATTTCATACAATGCATATAATGTAATCGCGCCGATTTTAAAACAAACAGAAAAACGGTCTGAATCATTAATTCATGGAAAAAAGTCGCACATTTTTCCCGTAATGTTTCTGCTCATTTATTCATGAATATTTCATTGATTTTCAAAATAAAACACGAACGAAACATTCCCATTACCGGTTCAATTTTTTTCCAAAGAGCAAAAACACTTTGTCATATAAGCACCATTATTGAATTAAATTTTACGCACTATTCGATGCATTTCGAATTTTAAGTACTGTTTAAAGAATGTTACTAGCATAGAGGAGGAAAGAGAGAGCTCTATCATGAATATATTTTCGTCGTTGTTTAAGATCGAAAGTCGCATATTTGTTTCGCCGTTTCGTTTCCTTTTGTGTGAATGAAAACGAATCGAGACCGTCGACACCTTTCAACTTTTTTTAGAAACGGTCCAAGTGACTTGAACATGTATGTCATATATGACACACATTTTCCAATAGAGTATCATCGCTCTCTTGATGCGTAACAACACGAAAGTGTTTTCTGCAAATAACTCGGATGTTCAATAAATTTTTGTGAAGATTTTTCGAGAGAAAAAACATGAGATTTTTTCAATGAAATTTGGCTTTTTTCACGTCACACATCGCATCACAATGATTTTTATCTTTTTTTATTGATGTGAATCGCACTTTTTTGCTCGAAAAACTGTGATGAAAGGCAGAAAAACAGATAATTCTTTGATTTGACATTTTTTATGTCAAATTCGTTTTTCGAATTGAATGATTTGTTATTTTTTTGTTTTTGTGAGTGGCGCACATACGCTCATATATATATATTATATTATATATAGAAAAAAACTTATCAATTTCGTTCAAGGTGACTTTTTGTCAATGAAATCGTTTAAATTATATCTCAAATCCGTTCTAGAAACAAAAATATGCCGATGACAGTTGGTAACTTTTAATGTAGGTAACATCTGGGTTCTTGCACAATTCGCTATTTTTTACATCATCAGCGTAACAGATTACCGTTTAAACTTTTAACCTTAGCCGAAAACCCGTAAAAGAAAGCACAGCGTTAAGAACGTATAAATTCTTTTCTATACAATTAGGTTCATTCTTTTCGCACCGCGTCTTTGACATTGTTAGCGTTTCGGCTGACCAAATCAAAATGACATAAATAGCACGAAACACACCATTTTTTACAGTTACTCGCTATTTTTGGTCAGCCGAATAAAAATATGTCCATACAATCAACAACAATGGTTTTTAAATCTAGGTGAAATTCCGGCGAGCTCAAAGCTTATGCAAATTGCAGTTGTAAATGGTTGACAATAAAAGAGTAAACATTTTTACGATTTATGCGTTTATTCAACCTGACCTCATTGATCATTATGATTTTTATATTTAATAAATAAATTCGAAAGTTTCACCCAAACACGAGAAAGATCATTGACTGTCTAATTTCAGTGATAATTTGATTAGCACCCAGTTGTGTCATTAATCTTTGAATGACAAACTCACCTCTTTTTAAACAAGAGAAAGAACATGTTTTTAAGATCACTTCCAAGAATTACTATGAGCACCTTTTACATGTTTTTGATGATGTCGATTGTTGAAGGCAAAATAAAACGAGCGGTTTCTTGTTTTTGAATCCATCTAAAATTCGCGTCAATAAGAAGGTACATAAAATGAAGGTAAAATATGTCAAAAACATTTCGGTTTTTAATTACATATCAAGATATTACCGTCTTGGTTTAGCAAATCTGACGCAAATCTATGCGGTTCAGTAATTTGCAGCATGTATTCAAATGATAAAAAAAATACATCACGTAATTCAAATTGAAATTACGCCTTGTAATTGATCTGCAGAGTGAGAGAATAGTAATTGATGTCGTCGACCCAATCAGATTAAAATGGTTTTAAAAAACAATAATATTTTTTTCTGTTTAAATCGGTGTGAAATTTACTGCGCTCGTTTAAATAAGAATGAGTTTTAATGCCGGCTTAAGGTGCATTGACTCGCACAATGGAACAAGATGTCTTTTCCATTTACATCGATACGAAGAGGGAAGAGTGAATGAGAAAAGAAGATACTTTAACGCCGAAATCCATTCAAATGCTAACAAGATACACACAAGGTGATCGCGCTAAAAAAATCAACCAAACGCAATGAAATTATGAATAGAATCATGTTGTTTGGTCTGTTTTTACTTTGTTCATTCTTATTTACCATTTCATTCTCTGTTATGTTTCTTTTGTGCGTTTTCGTCGCCATCGTTGTCGGTTTGTTGTTGTTTTTTGTTACTTGCATGTGTTAAATTGTTTTATTCAATGCTATTTTCTATACTCTCTTGCTAGTGTCTCGCTCAATAAAAATCGACCAAACAAATGAAGTATATTGCGTAGAAAATTAGCTCTCTCTCTATCTCTCTCTCTCTATCTTTCTCTCTCTTACTAAACCAATCCCCATCGCCACAATCATAGCAAAAGAATTATTCTGTGCACATGCACTCAAAACCAGTGTGGCTGCTTGCCGTATACATGCGATGTTATTTCCGTTATAGCTTATTATGTTCCGTTCGCCTAGAATTTGTATTGTCTGCAATCAATTTCTTTCCATCGTTTCTATATTTGTGTATGTGTTGATATGTGTACCACGTATGCCGTGATCTCGATGCTTCTCTCGGTATCGTTTTTTTTTTCTTCATATATTCTTGTTCCATTCGAATCTTGATCGAGCGATTCATTCGTTCGTTCGTTGATTCTATGCTTGTTTTTTATTCATTTCATATTGAATTTTGTACTCATTTTTTCCATGCTCATTTGATTTTGATTCTAGTTTTGAATTCGCGCTGTATGTAATATTTTTCGTTCTTTTTTGTGTTTTGCTTGCGTTCAGGTTTTTGCCACGGCACAGATTACCGAGCCATTTACTTAAATATTTATATTAATTTCCCGCATCTGGTTCTAGATGACTGCTGAATTCGAACTGAGCAATATAAAAAAAAGTCGAGCGCATCATCATCGTTGACTTGACAAAGAATGGAAGGGGAAAATTGCTTGCGCAGAGAATGAATTGAGAAAAATTAGATTCTTTGAAATTAGAAGGGAAAAAAGCGACGACTTCGACTTTCTTTTATAAGTACGAACATTGCATTTTGCTATTTGTTTTTTTTTTTTTACTTTTGTTGATCATGTAAGCTGCAATTGAAAGTACGCGAATTAATAGTGCTTTGCACCTGTTATATTGAATAAACTCAGCCTCTTTCCATCTTTAATTTCCAGTACAATATGAACTAATTAGATGTAATTTATTCAAATTCGACTTGTTTTGACCAAAACAATATACTTCGCCCCAAAAACGGCACTTTATTGTTCAATTCGACAGCATTTTCATAAAAGAAATCAACAAGACAATTGTCTCTTGTCGCTACAAACTCTCCTTGTCCACATTTTGCAACTATGTGATGAAACTGGTTTCCATAAAAATATAAGCGAAGAGACCGAGGAAAAAATTGTAATGCAACAAAAATAAAATCAACTACTAGTTTTGGCACAATCGTTCCAGCTTTAACATCAATTTTATAAACAGAAATGCGAGCGCACACAAGCCCGTCACAGAGCCAGATTATACTTATTTAAACGTTGAATGCAAAACATCCGCGATGGATGCGAAAAGTATATTTTATACAAAAAAAGGTGACTGATTTCGCGTAAATACATGTATGTAGATTGCGGTTGAACAACAACACGGTGTGTGCATATGGTCGGATAGCGATAGAGAGGCTCTGATTGGAATGCTGTGTTTGTTACAGTTACCGTATGTACGAACGCAACTGAGTATCATTCATGAAATATAAAATACCTTCACGGAAATCGATTGCTGTGGCCACTTGATATGTGTAGCAAGTTATGGTGAATAAATTTGTATCGCATCGTTGAACAGGGTGTCGACATTCATTTGAAGAACATTGATGAAGTCTCAAAAGCTAAAAACCATTTATGTTGCCAATTCGTTAAAAAAAATGTCTCGGAAATTATTGGTTCCAAGTCACGAGTTCCGTTCAAAACAAAAATTCAACTCACAACATCACTTCGAAGGTGAACATAAAACAAAAAAATATTAAATTAACGACAAATTAAAATTAATGTAAATTCGCCGAATCGCCGGAAAATGCGATAAAACCAGACGCCTTGCATTGACTCATAAATGATCAAAACAATTCCACCGACTTGGAAATGATCAAGATAAAGTCAGCCCAAAACCTACCCTGTGGCGATAGCAAACAAATTGAGTCGATAATTAACTTTCAAGTAGTGTTTTTCTCTCTTTCTTTATGCGCGCATAAATGTTTAACTCAACCAATGTACGCTATATTTCAAGTACTAGTCATGGCTAGTATGGGTGAACAACGACCATTGACAAGAAACGGTAAATATGGACTTGGACATGTTTAACTACTCCAGATTAGTATGGTGTATCCGTTATTGAGCGACAAAAGATAAAATAAAACAGTTATGGTGCGAAACTTATTTATTGTGAAAATTTACCTTAACGTTGGTTTGTTGCATTTGCAAAAATGTAGCAATGCCGTTTCGAACGCGATTTTTAACACCTCGAATGGTACCTTTTGAACTGCGTATGGTCGATGCAACCGATGATGCCCTAATGTCGCGATATCCAGCAAATGAATCATCATCTTTCGTTCGATCGTGTGAATCGCGTTGGCCCATTGTTGCATTTTCGACACGTTCATTCAAATGAAAACTGATATACTTGTCATTTTCATAAATATTTCGTGGTGTTTCACTGTTGCATTGCATGACTCGTCGTAATGGATCAACGCTTTTACCATTTGTCGTAAACAAGTGGTCAAAATCATTGTTTATGTTATTATCACGTCTATGGTGTAAATTGAATGGTTCATTTGTGTAACTGGCACTTGTCGTTGTCTTCGTCGTCGTCGTCATATTGTTGCATTCTTTCAGACTGTTTACGATAATTGTTTTATTGCAGCCACCATTTCGATATGGACTTGTATCGCCGTTACATTCATCCGTGTCGTCGCTGTTCTGGCTATGATTACTGCTGCTGTTGGTGTTAAGATGTGGAAATTCGACGGCGGCTGATGATTGATTCTTGCCTATTGTCATCGAACGATCGCGTATGTCACGCAACAATGACCGTGGTAAAAAGTTGATTTTTGTCACATTATTTTCATCGGATGTGATAATGGTGCCTTCGGTCGGCTCCAAGCATTCAGATACCGTACTGGAAAACGGCAACGATCGAATTATATTCGTTGTATTATGTTTCATGCGCATTATTTCGCTGGAATTTAATGAATCGCAACTTAAGCTCGATTCACTTTCTTCACTGTCCGTATTGTAACTATCGTTGCTCGAATGGGATTTTAGGCGACGTTGCCCATCGAGTGATAGATCGCCGAATTTTCGCATCGATTTTGAAACGGCATTTGTTAGTGTTAACGATGTTGGCAACGTGTATGAATTACTACTATTTGTGGTCGATGTTGTTTCTAGATCACTGCCCGTACCACTGTCTAATGTATCACTGGTGGTCGGTGAACATTGGCCACTTTTCGACATCAAATAGTACATATACGCTGGCTTCGTATTCACTTCCACTTCACTTTTTTGAACCATTTTGAATTTATGATTTTTGCTTTCGTATTCTTCTCCTTCTTCTTCTTCTTCTTTCTTTATTTCATAACACAATTTCGAATTTCTTTTCTATTTTGAATATATATATATAGGTATATATATATATTATATATTTTTGTCAAATTTTCTTTGAAAATCTTATTTTGAACTCATTATTTTTCACAACATTTTATTTCAAAACACCTGTTCGCTGGGTGTTTAGAAAATTTGTTTATTTGAAAAGCACTGATGTTTTCTATTGTTGTTGATTGTTTAAAGCACTACACTTGAGCTCTAGATTCGAATGAACAAAGTCGCGATGCTTTTGAACATCGGTGAGAGCGCGTACACAGAAGAGAAATAAAACACTTGTATCGCGTGAAATACACATGGAGAAATGATTTTTCATGATTCTCCCAAAGTCGGTGTCGGTTGTGCTGATGACGGTATCGTGAGAGTGCGCTCGTACTATAGACAGAGAGTGGGGTAAAGCACATGCGTTGAAGTAAAATGCAACATGGTGTTTGCTTTTTCTTAGCGTTACTGCTCCCCCTTTCGTCGAACATACGATCTCATAGATTGTATTTTAAGAACGCTACAATGGACACGATGCGCTTCAAGTAGCGGCGAATAGCGCTAATGGTTTTTAATTTCTTCTTCTTCTTTCTATTCAGTCTTGGTACTAACATATTCATCCAGCAATTGAATTAGCTCAGCCAGAGTGAGAATCATGAAGAATGAAAATAAACTCATATCGACTTTTCCTGCGTTTGTATTCAGAGAAATCTTTATTCGATTGCAAATGAATGTACATTGTACATTTTTTTGTATTTTGTTGAGTGCATCGTTTTGCAATTGACTTTGTTGTAATGTAATTAAATACGACGACAAATGTGATCTTAATTGCCATTGATTTATTTTATGTTTTGCGATTATTTCTGGTCTCATTTACCAGCGATTCATTTTTCGATGAATAATTTCGGTGGTGTATCCATTCGAAGTGGAATGTGTATTTACCGCACTCGTTCAAAATGTTCGATATCATACAATAAATGCACAAATTTACCATTACCAATCAATTTATTTTTACAGATACTATAGATATTGACGTAAGTTGTATGTGACCGAAGTGAAACCACTTTTATATTTTATTCAGATCGATTTCCCCGCGACCGCACCAGCCGCCAAACACTTTCAACGCGCTAAAAAATGCACTTCTGTGAACTGTCCCACATTCATTAGCCAATGATCGCTTTGAAAAGCCCACATTTGTAATGTGTCATCTGTGTGATCGCTTTGTCGAAAGTGTACATTACAAACTCAACGACAATGACGGATGATTGAAAGCACTTTTTTAAAAAGTTTGAAAATGACCACACAAAAATTCCACATAGTGAAACAGACACCGAAGCACAAAAGCGACAATCGATGCGATAGGCTCTTGTGCTCCAATTTACGGCTTATTCAATTCATGTATCAATTCGTTGGTTAAAAAAAGAAACATTCACACTATTAATTCAGTTGAAACCATTAAATTATGATTACGATCTTAATTGACAGGTGCTTACCATACGAAGAAAGTTTTTGAATGCGAAAAATAGTAAGCTATAATATTTATTGACTTTGCTTCTAGATTTGCTTATGATCGAAAGAATTTGTTAATCAATACAAAAATCTAAAAATCGTCAAACAACGTATCTCATCAAATAGATTGTATCAATTTTGAAATTAGCATTGAATTTGCCAACATTTAATTGACTTTCTCTTCTAACGTTATCGACAATGTCGTCTATTCTAAGCCATAACATTATCAATTCTTGTTCATCGCCAATTATTTGATTGTTTCTACTTTACACATAACACGGATATGCTAATTTTATGATGTTCAACGCTTCAAAGTGGGACAGTAAAAAAGTGTGATTTTTGATCTCATCATATCATTCGATTGATACTCAGTATCGAATACTGATTAATATTCCGAAAGCAAAAAAATGGATTGAAAAGATACCGTAAAAACAAGGAACACCGTCAGATAGATAAATTAGCTTAGATGTTAGTACAAATCGATTTTGTGGCATTTGCATACTTTCTGACTAAGAGTCCGGGGGGTTCGACTACCTACTGGCGATTTGTTAACCCCCTCAAAGTTTAAGATCTCTATTTTCTATATGCTGAGGTTTGAAAAAAATTCCACCACCTCCCACCAATTACTCTCGATTCAAATGCGGATGAACCATAAACCCCTTTTCGAAGTTCAGAGATTCGGTTTCAACCAGATAGAATGGTTTTTTTGTTAATCGATCAATCTGGCGGTATTCCCTCATAAAATAGCGAAAGAATTGCTTTTTCTGAATTAAAGAAAAAAAAAATAAATTTTGCAAAACTGCATAATATTTTCCTTCGTTGGCATTTATCAAAAATCAACTGCTCATAAATAGAAAAACACTGTTGTTCATAGGTGCTCGTTTTCGACTGCATAAAATCAGCGCCACTTTGTCATACATGAAATCAAAGCCGCATCGAATTTTAGCCAAACTTATACGTGAAATCTCTGCGATCTTACGACAGGTGATATGATTGTTGTTTTTGGATTGTTGAATGAAACATTGATATCACCTTCAACACATCAACATGAAAAAAACTGTCAGAGATACAGGTGTCGTTCATTGACCGTGATTACATATTCATAATAGTTGTATAAAATATCGCGTGCAATTTGAACAAAAAAGGAAACCACATGCTTATTTAGCCCAATAAAAAAAAATTAACCATCTTACTCTGTGCAAAATCAACGTACAACATTTAGTCACGTATAACATCATGTAATCGTAATTTGGCAAAGAATTGAAATAAAAAAACACACCTAATCTTCTGCGATAAGTCAAAGCTCATCGCTGTGTTTTTTTTTCATGCATTGATCAGGAAAGAAGAGTTTTGATTTGATTTGAAATTATTGCATTCTAAATTCTTGTTTATGCTTGCTTTTCATTCGGAAGGTGCTCAATCAAAATGCAGCGAGTTTCAGAACTTTCAACTCCGTAATAATAGTAAAATCAAATCAATTCCAATGCTTGAGCTATTTTACAGCTGAAGCGGATAGCACCAATCAACAAAAATATAAAAATTATTATCCATTTGGTTTTTGTTTTCTTCAAATAAACATTATATTTCACTTTCAATTTTCTTCGTCTAGCTCTCTCTCTCTCTCCTTCCCCATCAAGTCATTTTCAATCAGCTTCTCTTGGCTCCGTGTTTGATTTGTTTTTGTTTTTCATCTATTTCCATTTGCAATTTGCCAACAACTTTTGTTATTAGCGATTTTTCAATCGAAAGCCATAATTTTAGTGCTTCACTTTTGTTCGGCTTGATCTATAAATGAATGTGAATGCATTTATTATTCATTGGGTTTCAGTGTAAGTTGCACGCTCAATGCGCTCTAAGAGTTGCTAGATTTGAAGCGTAATTGATTTTTATCCATTTCAAATCACTCTTTGCATTCGCATTCAACGGATTGTGCGTCGGTACGCCTGCTTGTATGTGATTTCATTCGTAAAACACGACTTATAATATAATAAAACTAATTAGTTTTAATTTTTCAGCTAAAAGAGAAATAACAGACAGACAAACACACACAACGCTCACATTTCAGTTGAAGATTATAATAATTTTCGGATCATAATAGAGATATCATTGCGCCATTGTGCAGTGCACTTGATTCACTTTCAACATTTGATTGTTAGACCTCTACCTCTAACTGCAAAAGAAACAGCAACAGTAACAACAACAACGAGATGAGCTGAACAAACAGCGAAAGCAACACTCACCATTTTTACTACATACACCCAAAGCATTCTCTCCAGTCGCTGATGAATCGCACGTGCTCGCACAAAATATAATGTAACCAACTTTTTGCCATAAACATTCAATAATTTCTTCTGTTCAAATGATGTTTATATTCACATAAAAATTTACACGCGCGATTGATGTTCGTTAATCGCATGCGAAACAAACTGAGACACAAGTAGGAATTTTTTTGAAATTATTCACATTGAAGAAAAGAGAAATCCAAGGGCAGTAGAATCAAAATACAAAATTCTCGGCTTGATATCCTCAGTGGGAATTGTATGTAATTTTATTGAAAAAGTTTCAATCTAATTATCGAATATGCTATAAGTTCTTATTTGGCATAACCAATTTGTTAAAATCTTGATTGAAATCTTGAAAATGTATCAAACATCTTTAAAATCTCTTCTAAAGCTTCAATAATCTCCAAAGTGATATTTTAAATATTTAAAGTTCCCTAAAGATGTCTTTGTAGAATATTGATTTTTAACTGCAACCTGTTAAAGAGAGAATTTATATTCGATGAAACTTCAGCGTTTGCAAAATTATTCATCTTTTTTTAAATTATACCACAATGAGGACATTCAAGTTTTCATTCGTGTGTTTGAGTTGATGAACACACGAATTTTTTGAATGGTCAAAACTAAAAGATTGATTAGTTAAAATAGTCTTGGTATACAGCGACCCTCTCTTGCGTCCTATATTGACAATGTATTTGAAGATGACTCCATTGAAGGAGCGCCATCTCTTTCACGCCCTTGAAAACAATGCAACCTTGCAAACTTCGCAAATTTCTCATATATTTTTTCCTTCAAATTTTATTTCAAAATTGTATAAATAAATTACACTTTGGGCCCAGTCGGACTAAATTGTATACTTTTACGATTTTTCTATATAAAAAATCCATATGGATTAAAAAAAATCCTGAAGGAAATTCAAAATATTAAAACAATACTCAAAATTATTTTTTTTGAATTCATTTTGTTAATTGTCATCGATTTTACGGAGCAAAACAAAATTGTCAACTGTAGCTGTCACAGAAAAAATACAAATACATAAACATCACATGTACGCTCAAAGTATCACAGCGATGAAGCTAAGTAGTGAGCGCATGTATTAGAATGTTCGCTCAGCATATTTTTCTCTGTTGTTATGGCTTGTACGTAGGTGTGTGAAGTTTTTTCCTCGACATTCGAATACTTAAATGGGACCTTCACATAAAAATCGTTCGTAAATAGTTC